ACAGATTATACAAAGTCATGAAATTCCCCTATGTATAACACATACATTCTGATGATTGGTAATGCGACAGCGTTTACTTAGAATAATGTGTGCATACTACAACCACGCCCATCGGCGGCAATGTGCGCTTACATCAACTATATACACTCATATATACGGACATATCGTATAAATAATTAAACAAGGCATCAGCGTACGCAAAGAATTGCATTGCATTGAAAAAGTAAACTCTCAGCATGAATTACATTGTATAATAGTAACACAGTTAACACAGTATCTAACAATGCGCGAAAGCTGTATTATTCAGAGGGTTGATTTTTAAAGGGAAACTAATAGAATTATAATCAGGAAAACGCAAAGATCCAGGATGTGTACTAATTCGGTCTTACGTGTGGCAGTGTACTTTACTTGTGTTTATTACATTCCAAACCCTTTTTAAGTTCAGATATTATTCAATGAATTTTTGGAAGTGAAAGATATTTTGTTTAACTAGATTATTGACGTATACATTATTTGTGACCCCCCGAGGCATTATCTCATCGATTAACTAGACTTTCATGTACTGTTAGAGGGGTAAATATGACCGATAAGCTTGATTGATCGATCTATTGAAGAGACATTTAACAGGTTGGCATACTCGTATACACTCAAGTTGTTTGACTTACAGGCAGCACATGATTCATTATTGCGCAATTGAGGTTTGTCGTGATCGTGAATTCGAATATTGCGTGTTGTGGGTTTATATGCTCCTAATACGTCTGTAATCATGTTGACATTAAACTTTGAACAATTTATTAAAAATGTCAATTCATAGTCGCTAACGAGGCCTTGCAAAGCGTATTATTTGAGCGCTGCCGAATTATAATTTATTCATACATGCATTTGCATAAAAAAACGGCTACCAGACGTAATTCAGCTGTCGTGTTACCTCCGTGTCTCCCGTGTATTAAAACACGAGTGATTGCATTTCAGTTTTCATGCATGAATTTTTAACTTCACACACGCACTAAAAAAAAACAAAGCTTGCCACGTCGTGGTCATCAATCACGTAAACATTTCAAGACAACTAATATATTACACAGGTTATTTTTGTTTGAGTTCATTGCTGAAAACGAAACCGAGAATCTACTACCACGGGAAATGTTCACAGGGAGGTAATGACTCAGTAGCGATATAGAAACGTACCACATATATGAGATCGAATTGAATTGTCTATAGGTTTACGCCCGTCATAATCACTTTCAATTGTCGTGTGTATTGGAAATGAGGCAGGTATTTGTTAAACCCACGTTTGCATCGTGTTTTTTTTAGATACAGGTTATACGCGTCGTATTTTGGTCATAGTGTAACTAACGTAGGAGCGTGGATGCAAAGAGGTAGCTGTTATAGACTACGTGACGGGGGATCAACCATATGTAAGAAACAAAAGGCGAGTGAGTCGAGAAGCGTGAAAACAAGTCAATATTAAAATACACTTACACATTGACCTTTTCATGGCATAAATATTTGAGTACTACATCTTGCGTGAAAGAGGCACATGCAAACATTAACTATACAGCCTAGGAGTGTATGACTGTCTTATTGATTTGTATACATTTTGAATAAATAATTAACAATATCGTCGAGTCAATATTCAGAAATTCTGTAATGGTTTTCATATGTTTATTGCGTTTATTTAAGTACGTGATGTTAAACCAAATACAAGCGTTAAGACACGTGGTCTCTGTATATATGATTCATTCATGTATAATAGTTTATACATATGTTTTATTTCAAACTGCCATCTTACAAATACATAACTTCCGCTGAAGGTCAAGAGGCTTTACTTTTTAGATCATTGACTCTCGAAAGGACGGAAATATGAGCTATTTAATCCAGTGACGGTTTCCGCGTCTTAAATGTCACCATAATACCACATGGATAGTGTTATAAGTCTAACCTAAGTTCATCTATCTATCATACAGCATTTTTTAAATTTACAGTCGAGTGATTATTGTGAAATCTCGTCTCAATCTGACAGTGGTAAATATACACGTTCACGTTATTTATGGCATTTTAGTTACTATCAGTGTACATCCGTTTAATATCAAACGTCAATTCCATTGGGTTGACACGTACATACAAAGGATCGTTTCCGAAATCATTCCAACTGTAATAACATTTTGATTATCGTCGCAAATCACATAAAGCATTATTAATCTCGAAATACAAGTATGTTGTTGTTTAGTTTATTTGTGTTAAGCCTCGGGGTTTCCAACAGCTGCGCTAAAATTTTTACAATGATGTTGCATGTTTTCCAAAGGTTATTTATTGCCTGTATATATATTTAGTCTGTGTGTGTGATGGCGAAATTATATATTGAACTACAACACTTTATGTGTTCATTTTGCAGAGTTTTCTAATATTTACACAATAAACAATCATTTCTCATACGTCCGTGAAATTGATTTATCATCACATTATTGCAGTTTTTCTCCAGCCCAATGCATTTTGCTCTTCGACGCACAGGGGACTGCTGAATCAGTGAATGGGAAATGGTTGCGTCTGAAACCGAACACACGCACGATTTGGCAACCGACAATTCCGTGGAATTGAACACGTTCCAAGACCGACTCATTTATTATTGAAACATTCATGTTTGCGCGAGGTTCCGCAATACTTATCCGATCTGTATTACGAGCTGCACTAGAATACAAAACATGCACCAAGCGTAAGTAAGGCGGCATCCGATGACTGTTATTATTATTATAGAACGCGTTTCAGGATCTCAGTTTGCGTGCAGATGACAAGAGCGATATATTTGTTTGCCAGCGGTCGCAGTGTTGTTTGAAGATGTAACATACAGATTTAATTAAAAACTCTAAAAAATGAAGATGACAGACAAATTATATGTCCGGTGATTTCCCTAAAAGTAATTACCAACGTTAACTAGAGTACGAAATAATATAAATGAATTATGGTAATCATTATCAAATTTTAAATAAAAATACTCAAAATCACGATCGCCTCGGGAAAACGTCAAATTTATATTCAGTTTTCCTCTGCCACGGTAGTATAAAATGACATTCCTTATTACCGTCTTAAAACAAGTTCTGCATAAAAATTGTCTAATTGACCACCAATCTGATATATAACATTATATATTTACGATTTGCAGATACACTCTTTTGCTGATCTTGCCCAATTTAGACATTTTCGCCTTGTCTTATTGTTGCGGTGTGTACAATGGTATGTTAGGTATATTCGATTTCAGATTAGCCATGACTTAAACGTGCACGACTTGTGAATTGTATACTATAAGCAATGTGAATATCGTTCGCATGGTTGGCCATCAATCGGGAGAAATTGCTATCAGATGAAATCTAAGACGACATCTTGATCTACAACAGGAATTATATCTATGTGCGAACGTCACCAATCAACACTTGATGAAAAACAAAATGCACATGTCAAAAATGGTCACATACATTAGAGTATAATATACTCTCATCGCTAAGATCTATACTCACGCTCCGGACTCATTGGTACACTAATGTACATCATCATGTGTGTGTGTACTTGCATTGCTATATGTTCCGAGAACAAAAATACAGATATATAGCAACTTCCGAGGACATACACACCTTCCGAGGACCTTTTTCATAGTCCTCGGAAAACATAATTTATATTAATAGTTAATTCGATTATTAATACGTTTTGCGAAGCTTAGGTTTAGTATCGGGGGAAGGTATGGTTCACGTTATATTAATATTAATATAATTG